GACCATGTACTTGAAAGTATCTACTATATTCAAAGGAAGTTTACAGTAAATAAACGTAAAAGATTATTCATGATTCAATACCCCTCCTCTATGTAGTTTTTACTATATTTTAAAATACTTTACCTTTAAAGGCAACATTATTAGGAAAAGGAGAATCTATGTATCACAAAATATATTTATAAATATTTCAGATATTCAGAAGTATATTTATGCTTTTGCTTTGCTTTTATGCTTTGTTAAGATTTTTATATTATTGACTTTATTTTCTGTTCTCAATAATATTCATGACAAGTTCTGACATCCAGTTTGCTTATCAGTTCTCAAAACAGTCCCAGTAACTTTAGCAGACAGTTTAGGAATCTTACAATATTTATCTGATCTCAATTGCAGAACTGCGGACAATCAATAGATGATAACAAAGAGGTAGTGAAATCTCTAAAGTCTTTACTTTCATAATCCATAATCCTTTACAAAGCTAGAGCCTGAGATTCATAATTCACATCAGACACTGTTTCTACAATTAAGCCAGCTGCCCTTAGTTCTTCCCCTTTCTCTTTGGTATCAATTTGTTTCTGTCTCCAGGATATTACAGAAACTGAATTATGGTATTATTTAGTTGAAAAGCAGAACTGGCCGCCTATTTAGATACCTGCAAAGTATTAATGGTTGATTCATATAGCTCTAATTATTGCTTATGTTCTTAAGATTAGAAGAGGGAATTTTGGCTGGAAACTTGCTGTCACCACAAACATTTTCTTATTGTATCTTCTTTCTGAGTGAATTAAGTTAGGACAGGATTTCTTCAACAGATGGCATAAACAGGATAGACAAGGTCAGCAAATAGCTGTTGATTCCTCACTATAAAGTCCCTTCAATGGTCAACCTCAAAAACTGAAAGGATCTCTGGTCTCATTACTTGCTGCCCTTTGATGTCTCTCATCTCTTGGTTTATAGTGCTCCGGTAGCAGCACAGCCTTGGGTGTTCTGTGTTCTGGTGGTGATATTAAGTTTTGTGGATCAGGGTAGTTATCTGGAGAGTGCTGTTGCCTGTCAGGTCCTGCTGTTGCCTATTAGAAAAGACCTTACCAAAGGATTTTGGGTGGGGGTGTTATTTCCAATCCAAAAGAACATAGGGTCAGGAGACAATTTGCTTTTTCCAGCCGCCAGAATAGAAATGATAACTAAGGTATAGAGTCCTGCACTAAGATAGGAGAAAGCAGCAAACAATACAGCTCTGCAGATTATTGTTCACATAATAGGTTCATTTCATTTTCAAATGGAAAACATAACTTTCTGAAAGATTATGGTATTATTTAATTGAATTATGGTATAATCCCCTGATTTGGCTGTACCTATATAAATAGCAGGCTGGCACCAAGATACAGTCTCTTTTGTAGACACGTCCCCAAGAAATTTAAGCTGCCATCTCAGCACTGGGATATGGAGAGTATGCAGGTAAAGATTCAACAGCTGATTTAATCACTATCAAGAAACATGCGTAGAAGATATTGTCTTGCATTATCAGGTTAAAATCAGTAATTGTTTTTTTTAAAGGACAGTGGGCACAATCAAACTAGAAAAAAGTTGCAAGAGTGAGACTAATTTGATATATGCATTGCACTGGGCTATAAAATGGCTTGTTAGTTTGCTATATGAATTAAAAATTAAAATATAGTGTCAAGTTAGAATCATTTGTAATAATTTTTTTCTGTTAATGCACAATTTTTACTTGATACAGGTCCTTCAATCATATACAAAGCAAAATGTACTAATTATGTTGTTTCTTTAAATGAAATAAACTTAATTTTGTAAAGGTAACATTATTTATATATTGAATAATGATAATGAATCTTTATAGCAATAAACTAATAATCATATTTTGCTGAATGAATGATTTATATTTTATTGATTGTGGAAAAAACAGTAAGAACAGTAAATTTTATATGGGAATTGGGCATAATATTGTTATATTGTGATACATTTAATTATCTCTTAATTTCATATTTTCTGACACTCCTTCAAAGGTGATAGTAAACTAGTTTCGCTAGGTTTCTAACCTAGCCTTTATTAAAGCAGGCAACATTTCTATATTTTCTAACCCCTTTGTCTAGTTGTTCAATGGCAAGTCTATAGAATATAGAATGGTCAAACAAATGGCAACTTCAAATCTCAACAAATAAATGCTCTGTCTTACATATTGGCAAAAAAAATCAGAAAATAAAATACAAGCTGAATAGTCAAGATCTTGTTGATGATCCAAGCTCTGTAAAGGACCTTGGAATACTCATCTCTAATGATCTAAGTGCTAGAGCCCACTGTAACTACATAGCCAAAAAGGCATTAAGAGTTGTTAACCTAATCCTACGTAGCTTTTTCTCTGGTAATATTACACTACTAACTAGAGCATACAAAACATTTGCTAGACCAATACTCGAATACAGCTCATCGGTCTGGAACCCACATTACGTATCTGATATTAGCACAGTTGAAAAAGTCCAGAAATATTTCACAAGAAGAGTTCTCCACTTCTCTACTCGTTGTAGAATACCTTATGCCACCAGACTTGAAATTCTAGACCTAGAAAACCTTGAATTACGCCATCTTCGATCTGATCTAAGTATGGTATATAAAATCATACGTTGCAATGTCCTACCTGTCAATGAATACTTCAGCTTCAACCATAACAACACAAGAGCACACAATAGATACAAACTCAAGGTTAACCACACCAAACTTGATTGCAGGAAATACGACTTCAGCAACAGAGTGGTCAATGTCTGGAATACTCTACCTGACTCTGTAGTTTCTTCCCCAAACCTCAAAAACTTTAACCTTAGACTGTCTACTATTGACCTCACCCCTTTCCTAAGAGGTCTGTAGGGGGCGTGCATAAGCGCACCAACATGCCTACCGTCCCTGTCCTATTGTTTCTTTTATTTTTCTTATATGTACCCATTTCATGTATTCATAACTGTTGCGTTGAGCGACCGGTCTGTTGTTTAGATCTTCAGGTTGATTG